AACCCCCCCCTAAAAAACCCCCCATCGCACCACCCCACAACCCCTTTCCCACTCGCCCCCCACCAATACAACCCAAACAAAAACCCCCCATCGCTTCCCACCCCAAAACTACACATTAAAAACCCCATCGCTACCACCACCAAAATACCATATTCCACCATCGCTACCCCCCACCACAACTCACTAAAACCACGCTCCACCACCAAAAAACCACTATTACCCATCGCAACCCCCACATTCCACTTACACCATCGTTCCCCCACCAAAATCCACTATTAAAACCCACGCTCCCACCCACAAACCAATTTCCACCCACTACACCCCCAAACCCCCCCACATAACCCCCATTTTTCCCCATACAAATTACCCTTTTTTACCCCATCGCACACCACTACAAATACCACAAACCCACAATCACTCAAACCCCACAACACCACTATTACCCCCATACTCCCACCACACCTACCTAACCCCTCACGCCACCACCCAACTACCACTAACCACCATCAACCCCCCAAAACACCACTTTCCACACTCGCACGCCCACCAAAACTCCACTTTTCCCACCACGCTACCACCCCCAAACCCCACTTTCCCCCCACGACCACCCCCAAACCCCCACTTTGCCTATCAACCCCACAATCCACTTTACACACCACCACCCCAACACCCATTCCACCACCTCCCCCCACTAAAACTACCACTTTACCCACGTACCCCCCCACAACTCACATTCCACCACGCACCCCACCACAATCCATTTTTACCCCACGCCCCTCCCAAAAACTACCCTTTTGCCACACACACACCACAACTACCATAACATCACATCCCCACAACACCACTTTACCCCTCACCCCCCCCAAATTTCCACAACCCCACCCCTCCCACAACTACCACTATTTGCCTCACTACCCCCCAAAACTCCACTTTTACATCATAAACCCCAGCACAACAACCACATTACCACCACGACCATCACCACTCCCACTTTACATCTCATCCACCCAATCCACTATTACATCTCACTCCAGACAACTCCCACTATTACATCATCATCCACACCCTCCCCTTTTCCCCCATCGTACCACCCCCACAATCCATATTCCACCATCACTACCCCCCCCAAAAACTACCAATATACCACCATCGCTCCACCCCCAAACCCCACTATTACCACCATAGCTACCCCCCCCAAACTACCCTTTTTCCACCTCCTACCACCCCCCCAAACTCCACTTTGCCATCATCACTAACCCCACTACTACTAACATCATCACACCCCACAACTACCACTATACCCCTTACTACCCCCCCCACAACACCACTTTTCCCACCACGTACCCCATAAACCCCCACTTTACACCACACTACCACCACCACAATCCCACTATTCCCACCATCTACCCCCATCAAAACCCCACTATTACCACCACATACCACCCCACAATCCCTTGCATCATCCCACCCCAAATACCACATACCACCTTTTCTACCACCACAACACTACCCCCTTTCCCCATCACTACAACCCCCAAATACCACTATTACCATCATCAAAAACCACCACAACACACTATTTACCACCATCATACGACCACCACAACTACCCTATTCCCCCATACTCCACCACAACGCTACCAATTACCACCACACTACACCACCCCAACTACCACTATTCCACCCAACCACCAAAACTACCAAACTACCACTTTGCCCCATTTCCCACCAACTACCATATTACCCCTCATCCCCCCACAATCCCATAAAACCCATCCTACCCCCACCACAACCCCCTATTACCCCCATCACAACACCACAATACCACTATTCCCACATCACTACCCCCCACAACACCATTTTTTTCCACCACACTCCACCAAACTACATTTACCACCATCCCCCCCCAAAACTACCATTTTACCACCCATACCACCAAACTACCACATCACCACCATCATACCCCCACAACTACCACTTTTCCCACCACCCATCCACCCCCAATTTACATTTTACCACCATCACTACCCCCACAACTACCACTATTCCCCTACTTTTTTAACTAGACAGATAGTAAATTAACCGGGTTTTTTGGGGTTTGTTTTTTTTTTTTAAAAGTGTTTTTTTTTTTAGCTGTTGTTTTTTACTGGTTTTGTTTTGAAAGGGTTTTTGTTTTGGGGGTTTGGTTATTTTGGAAAAGTTTTTTTTGGGTGGTTTTTTATTTTTTATCTTTTTTTTTATTTTGGTTATTGTGGAAAAAGGTTTGGTTATTGTTGGAAAACTGTTTTGTTATTGTTGGTAACGGTTCTTGTTTTTTTGGGTTTAAGGTTTGGGTTATTTTTGGTCTGTTCTGTTATTTTTGGTTTAACGGTTCTTTTTATTGTTGGTAACGGCTCTCGTTATTGTTGGTAACGGTTCTGGTTATTGTTGGTAACGGTTCTGGTTATTGTTGGTAACGGTTCTTGTTATTGTTGGTAACGGTTCTGGTTATTTTTGGTAACGGTTTTGTTATTTTTGGAAACGGTTTGGTTATTGTAGGTACGGTT